ACTTGTTTTTTATTTTGCCCCTCAAGGTGCACTCATTCAATTTCATCTGACACCACTGAGGAGAATATGTTGAGCTTTTTCGAAGGTGGCTGTGCACGACGCATGGCAATGAGGCGGTGGGGACGGCGCCGTCACCTCGCCCGTGCAGCTATTAGGACGACTTATCTGAGTAGCTGTGGATCAAGGTGATATTTTGTCTGGCCCCGAGCAGCACTGATGACAGGAAGTGGAAGTTAAATAAACACACTCTGGTTCAGACGTCTGAGAAAGAGCCCTTATGGTGAATAGCTTGATATCACAGGGGTTTTGAGACTACGGGCTGGATGTGTGGAGAATGTTAGCGTTTTTCAGTCGGGGAACCGCTGATGATTGACACTATCTCAGCCGCTGCAGATTCTTTTTTTTTTCTTATCTGGGAATTTTCCCCATTTCGTTCTTTACTACCCATTTCCCAGGTCCAAATTTGAGCTCTGTCCCTTTCCTTAAATGTTTTATTATGCTGGAAGCATTTTAAATTGCCCTTCTCAACGGATCACAACAGGCTTAAGCTCAGCCGGCGGCTAGCAGTGCTCACAGCGTGATTCTGCTCAGGTAGACGATACTCCCCGACATCCTGACGTAGAAAACAGTTGTTTGTGATTAAATACAGCCCCTTTAACCAATTAGCCACAGAATGATTCAGTAGCTAAGTTAGCTGTTGATTTACAGCAAGCCCTCGCCCTTATTTGACGTACAAATAAAACATTTTGAGGCTTAGCAATCCCGAGTTGTGATTCCAGTGGTTTGCACTCATCTGCTTTGGCAGGACTAGTTTCTAAACATGCACACGCAGCCAGATATTTTGCGTAGCAATCTTCACAACAGAGAGCTTCCATGGTGAATGACTGAAAGCTCCCGCTGACAGGCATCAGGGCCGAAAGAGCTCTGCGGGGAGACGGCGAGAGCCTACTTGTACATTCTGCTTACAACCTGCTAAAGGACGGGGAGGACAGTGTGGGTGTCACATGTCAGGCTGCGATCAAGGTGTTTAATTGATTTGAAGAGTGGGGGTGAGAAGATGCCCCGAGGGGGAAAAGAGTGGACCGATTGCTCGAGGTGAGACAATGTTTGAATGAAGGTATAGATGTCGGTGACACACACACGCAGTCACGCACAGAAACCACCATGAGGGTATTAGTTGCTAATAAATTTTTGGGAACACTTCTTTGAAATTAAAAAACCCTCCAGAAAAAGAGTGGCTGCATTCAGTATGTCATCTACACCCAAACAGAAGCACAATATGAGAATAAATGTATCCGTGTTTCCCTCTGTGAATGAGTGCATTTAAAAGTATGGTTATGTAAACTATTTGTGATAAGCGGTGGTAATTTGTTGATGAGCGCGGATGTGTTTTTGCCGGAGGGTTAGTCAACGTGTGGCTTTAAAGTATGTCTGAAATGTGAAAAATAATCACGCTGTGAAATCAGAAATGTAGGATCAGGCAGATAACATTTTTCTCAGTGTAACCCCCGAATAAGCCAAATCGTGGTTAATGTAAAACATGATGTGTTCATGCTGCAAATGGTCTTTTATTCTCAAATATTAAAGTGCAATGGAGCCTATTCAGAGGTTTTTATGGCTTTGTGATTCTGTCTGGTCAAACTTACTTGCTTTATTATCTTTCCCATTAAATGCTGTTACTGCTCAGCATCATTTGGAAAACGCTGTACACATTCACTATCTCAGGAGAACGTTTGCTCTTATGCTTGCAGCACTTTTTAAACTTTATTGTACCATATTTCAGAAACGTAATGATTTCAGTCTACTTCCTTTGATGTATGTTCCCGAAATACAAATTAAAAGTCTGCTTGAATACAGTTACATTACTTTTTCAATAAAATGTAGGTAATTTGTGAAAAGCAAATTGTCAACTCAAGTTGGAACCATTGAAAGTTTGCTCTTTTCGCTCAAGAGATTACAACAAATGGATATTCGACTATCAAATAGTTTGATTAATTTTCCGTCATTCGTCATGTTAACTTTGCTTTCATAATGTCATAATTTCATAATCATATTTTGTATGGGCCAAGCGGACAGTCACTAACACAAAGACCATTTTATTTCAACACAAAAGTAAAGAAGTGGTCCGGTTGTATATGAAGTAATTCTAATGTTTGCACATTATTTTCCTTTAATTGGGTGTTTAACTGACTCTCTTGAGAGTGGGTGCTGGATGTCAAAGGCCATTATGAAGTAAAAGCTGTCTCTGTGGACAAGTGGGGTACTGTGACTCTGTTATCAGTGTGTTCATGCACTTCTTGAGGAATCAGACAGTGTGAAATTGCAGGAAGGAGAATGTGTTCATCAAGGGCCACATTTAGCAGGTGTGCTGGACTACAACCGCTCACTGGCCTCTTTTACTATTTATGATGTGACAAAACCTATCCTAACTATGTATCCCACTTTTAGATGTCTTGACACTATATTTCGTTACATGCATTTCTATTTGAATGATATTACATTACAGGTCATTTAGCAGACGCTTTTATCCAAAGCGACTTACATTACACTTTAAACCCATGGCTTTTCACATTTTTGCCCGGGGAGCAATTAGGGGTTAGGTGTCTTGCTCAGGGACACTTCAACATGGAACATGGGGCAGCCTGGAATCGAACCACCAACCTTGTGCTTCCCAGCACACCTTCTCTAACCTCTGCGCCACAATGACCCGCCATATTGACACTGACGTAATACAATGATAATGTCCCCATGCAATTTGCAGCCTCCGTGTTCAATGTTTGCTCTATCAGCTTGGGAGTAGTCAATACTGAAATGAAATAAATTGGCTTTTATGTAAATATTGGCCTTCATTCTACCTCCATGTATTTGTCCCTCTCTTCTTTACATTTTTAGCACAGAGTGCTTATTTTTAATGCTCCCAAATTTGCAAAAACATCCAAGAGGCTATGGGGTGAGTTCACAACAACTCCAAAATGAATCGGTACCTACAGCAGTCACAATATTATATTAATACACACACACACACACACACACACACACACACATGGTGTCCAAATGGGGAAAAAAGAACTGGTCCCCCCCCTTCTCACAGGATGCAAACAAGCCGCTGATGGGAAAGTACACAGAGACACGGTGTCAAAAAGCCTACGAGGCATTAGGATGATGAGAGCCCTGTAAATGTCGGAGGAAGTCGGCACGATATTCCCTTCACGTCCACAGCGGCTTTGTGTTTTCATGGAAATATTATAGGCGCGTGCTGGGAGCAGGAAACGTGGTCCGAGGGTCTGCAGCGGTGAGTGTGAGCAGGAAGCTGCGAGGCTCCCTTCCTCCCTGCAGCCAGCAGTAATTGCCTAACGCATTCATCAAAGGTTTACCACTGTCCCCTCATTTCTGTTTACACCACTTTCTTTTTTATTAAAGATTCGCTTAATATATTGAATTTGCCTCGGATTTTTTTTTCTCCACACATCGGGTGAAGTAAACAAGTTAAATCATGTTTTCCCCAGCTTTTGACACTTGTATACAGTTGTATTTATGCGCAAGTGTCTCCAAATGAATTCTTCCATCGCTTTCCCTGATGCCGCCCCCTCTCCCCCAGACCCCCTCTCATCTCTCCTCAGCCAAATGAGTGAAAATAGCCAAACATACCTAAGCAGCTGGATTGTGTGGAAAACAGACCATGCGCTGGCAAAAATAATGTTTTTTTTTTTTTTTTTTAAATTGCAGCAGACTCATTCTTGGGAAAGAGAATAAATTCACCCAACAGGAACACTGCTTGTGCCAAACGACACAGCAGTATTTTCTGCCAAACGAAAACAGCTCGCACCTTTTGAGTGATGACAAGGTCCCATTATTAAAACGGACATAGCGCAGGCGCTTGCGCGGAGTCGGGAACGAAGTGAGGAGGGACCCCTGACCGTTTCTGATCTCAGTCTCTCGTCTGCGTCTGCCGGTGTTGCGCGCTGGCGCTCCCGCAGAACGCGGCTATTATCTATGAATGAAAAGTGGACTTCTTGATTCGCCGCGCGCGTGCCACCTGCCGGGCGCGTCACGCCCGCTGCGGCCAATCCCGACGCAGCGATCCCTTCGTGCGCCCCTTGGAGATCCCCGCGGTGCTCCTCACATCGCCGTCCGATCTCCGGCTGGGTGACGGTTCGAAGGCGAGCCTCGTTCGCCGTGAACACTCAGTGCTTCAGATGTGACTCCATTGGAGCGCCGTGGTCTACTGCTGGTGCGCCAAACGCAGACTCGTGTAGACAGTTTGGACTGGATTTCCATTCCCACATCTTGCTTTCTGCTGCTTTTAGACCCCGCGCGCCATTGGATTGGTTATGAGGTAGGTGAAAATAAGACTGTTAAAAAAAGGAAGGGGAAGTTTTTTTTCCAATGTTGTGTCAAAGTAAAGTATCTGGTTTAACTCCCAGAAGCGATTCCACGAGGCTTTATTCTGTCGCACAACGCAGCACTTTGGAGTTGCAGACGCAACACACTGTTTGTCCACTGCAGAGGCCACTTGTCCACAAAGCGCATGCCATAGTCAGGCTATCACAGGACACTGGAATTAGATGTGCTTTTCTTTAAATGCAAGTTTGGCAAACAAGTGGTGCTGCTGTTCCACCACCCTCTGCTCAGCATCCCTGCCCGACCCCTCCCCGCTCTGCGCTCCTCAGATGCTGCTTCTCCTAAACGGCTACCCGAGAACCAATGAAGTCAATGGAAAACATGTATATGTTCAAATCCAAGGTCATCCAAAAATAGGGAACTTTGCTACAAAAAGGGGTTTATTGTTTGCCTGCAATTTTTTGTTTTTGTTTTTGTAGAGATCAGATTTAAAGTGTTTGTCTTGGCGCGGACGGAGGAGGAAATTAATTGTGTCCATACATGGCAAGTGGACGGCTTTCATGATTTGGGGTGACTGTTTATTTATGATGTCCCTAGATGGCAATGTGAAAGAATGTTCCCGCTTGGTGACCTGGGGGTACTTTGACATCGTGCTGGATAATGAGTTAGAACAGAGGGAATGGCATCCGTGCCATGCTGCAAATATTTTCCTTTTTATTCTACGGGCTGTCATTCTTTACTACAGAGGCCGGAGTTAAAGTTTGACAATACAGTAGCAGAATATGAATCACAGGCGGTTTCTCCGTGGCGGCTTACCCAGATAGTATAACATTTTAATATGTTGCGTACACCAACCCCACCAGCTTGTTTTTATAGTCATATATCAACCGAGGCATTGTTAGGGAACTGTGCAGTCTAGTTCCGTGTCATGGGGAATGCTCGGTCTGTTACTAGTCTGTTAAAGGTGGAGCAGGAATGTGTTTAGATGATTATGACTTTCCATTGCCTGCTGTGGGGAGAGACGCAGTGGAGGACACGAAGAAGAAGTGGAGGCGCATGACGTTGACGGGAAGAGAGAAAAAGGTGAGCAGCGAAAGAGCCCTCACGGCTTGATCTATTGTTTGAGCCACGGTCAATATTGGCTGACCGTCTTTTTTTTTTAAGGCTTTCCTTTCTACTTGATAGATGGTTCGGTCACGCAACGTATTCACCATCGTCCTGAATTTCCCATGTGGACTGTGGGTGGAGGATGTCACTTTGTGACACTGATGTAGACAGTGAAGATGGGAATGTCGCCGCTTTTACCCTCTGCTGTACGTTGGGATTTGCGTGGGTGCTTCAAACTGTGGCCTTTTGGCAAAGAAGCTCTTGGTTTATTAGTTTCCGAGCTTGTCGATTTGTACCGATGATGCTGAAAAAATATTCTACTGTGGAGAAGAGCGAGGTTGACCTGCGTTGGTAAGTCAATGTGCAGCATTATTTCTTTACAGTTCATCTTCTCTCCTCTCGTCATTAAAAGAATAGTTTGGGGAAATAGCTTGGCTCCGTATTTGTTTGTTTCTTTCGAAAAAACAGATTTCTCCACCTCTGGCATTAGCCAGGATAGCTGTGTCCTTAGTTACTGTCTTTGTGGATAAACCAAGCTAATTTGGCTTCTTATATCCAGTGCAGACGTCTTACTTTTGGCCATAAAGCAAATAAGCTTATTTCCCAAAATGTTAAGTTGTCATTGAAAGCAACATTCAACTCATTTTCGTTTTAAATGGGAGTGTATCAGATGCAGAAAGCTTGACGCTGTGTTGGGTGTTGTGCTGTGGAAAAATGTCCGATTGAAGAGAGAGATACCAAGAAGACAAGAATTTGCCATGATCATGTATTATTAAGTGGAATAGAGAGTTGAAATAGAGGGCTTCTATAGAATAACCCTCCAGCTGCAGCTTGCTCTGACTGGCACCACAAGGCTACTTTTAGAGCCGGCAACAGGAGACAGTGATGGGGATTTTACAGGAGTCAGCTGGCCTAACAGACAGGCTAACTCCCCCATCGGGTTTCATTAGGGCTCATCTTGATGTTAAAGCCTTTTTTAATCTACTTTCACAGCCACACAGGCCACAACAGAGCAAAACGCAGCATCTATCTTTAGACAAAGTGAGGGGAGAAAGTTTTCCATCGCAGTTCATGAAAATAGCAACACAAATCCCACGTAGTTGGCCTAAAAATGGTTGAGTTGAAGCGTTAAATCTGCCCAAAAGTCTTTGCCGGGAGCCTCCGTGGTCAAGATGGTTCATAGTGATGCATTAATTTAAAATGCCAGTATATAATCATATAAACATAGATCTGAGCCACGTTGTTACCGATAACATATCAAGCTGTTTGAGTTACTATCCGCCAAATATCCAAATCCATTATCACAGTCAGAACTCCTTCAATTGATGTTCAGCTCTGCACTCCTTGTTTCTGTAAAGTAGACTGCTTGAGGGTGTAATTACAGTAAAGCCTTGCAGGGTGACTACTTGGACTGTTTGTTTTTGTCTCCACTCTCTGGGCGGCTACTATTGTTTTCCCATTTTTGTTGCACCTGCTTAGCGTCAGAGACGCAGTGCCGGGAAGACGCCGGCTTCAGATCAGCAGCTGGGAGGTTTTCAACAGAAATATATTTTATATGCTCATTAATGGATACTATACTTGATTTAATTATGACTCTATTGCAGCCTAATGCAAATAACACGTCATTGAATTTAGTGGCGTCTCGTAGGTATGCCAGTGGTAATATAGGCTTCGGGAAAATTTTGGCTTTTATTGCTAAGATAATGCGTGATAAACTCTGTGACCTTCAATAGTTGTCACAAGCTCAGCTGGGGCTGCCCCTTATTGGTGGCAATAAGGTGTTCAGTGCAGGACTGTTAACAACCGCTGCATGTTGATCTTAGGATATTATGTATGTTCAGCACACAGCCAAAGATGATGCAAGTGAGATGTAGTTCAACGGTAAGCTGCTGAGAAGAACAGAATGGGTGATTTATGGTGGAGGTCAGCGCTGTAGGTAGGTCTGTTAGGTATAAAAAAAACCCTGCTGGGTTGCACGTTTGAATCCTGTCAGCTGTACTGGTGCATTGAGCCCGCATGCTGCTTTTCAAACCAGTATTTTAATGCAGTTTGCAAATGTCTCCCCAAGCTGCTACGCTCCACTGCACCAACAATCCTTCGGCTCAGATGTTTTTCTTTTGCTTCTTTTAACGTTTTCGTTCTCATTTCCAAATTGTCTCTCTGTCTCCCCCCCACACACTCTCTCTCTCTCCCTGTCTCTCTCCCTAGAACTGTCTCACTCGAAATTTAAACCTCACTTGAGTGACTTCATAAGACCTATCTCATATATAACTGGTTTCGCATGCTCTTATGTCCGTGCTTGCTGTGCCGTCATTTCCAGTGCAGGTGCACAGGCTTGGATTTCAGGTAAAAAATATTTGTGCTAACAAGAGACAGGGACAAGGGAGAAAAGTAGCGCAGCTGCAGCAGCTCTATTAATGGCCGATGTAACACACAGGGAGAGATCACGCCGATGATGGATGTTTGACTCGGCCTGGACGAACCTCCAGCTCTCAATATTCAGCCGAATATATTTCTTTGTTTTCCGACTGATGCCGCCATCGTGAACGGCTGGTTTATTATTCTGAGTTAATATAGTTTCACGTTGTATTGATCACATTAAAGATCTCGCTGTAAATTAAACTCAAACACACGGTTCGTTCTTTTCTGCATTCATGTGTTAAAAAAAGCCCGTTCGGGTAAAACACATCCCTCTACAATGTGAAGTAATGTGAGCTGAATGTTTAGTCCTCTTAACAATCGTACAAGGTCATCTTTAGAGAGCAGTGACTAGACAATTGTAAATATGAGTTCTGTGGATGAAGGGAAACAGAAAGAAAGAAGCAAATGTTCCCTCTCACACCAGGGGACAAATACCCTTTTTAAAATACTGAGAGAAAAAAAATCATTGTTGAATACATTTCCTTCTAAAATACACCCTGCTTTGACATTTTAATAGTGGGAAAGTGTTCTTTGAATTTCATTGATTCTTGTTTTCCACATTGCTGAAGTATCATGTCAGCCTTCTACAGCCTCCTTTCAATGCAGCAATCCAAATACTCATTTTGTAGACGACGCAGTTTGCAGTTGCAGGCTGTGATTGCGACGGAGTTGTCTGCCTGCGGGAGGTTTCGTTGTATTTTTTAAGCTGAAGCAATCCGAAGAACAACACATACTGTGACACATGCATTAAATGATGGCATCACAGGGTTAAAAGCTATGTTTTTATAAGATGAATGGATAGAACACTGTTACACCTGCTGAATGTTAAGACAATTCATAATTCATTGTGAGAAGGTTTTGTGACAGATGTTGGTTTAGAAAAACCAACATCTGTTGTTTATTCAATACAACCACAAATATTTAACCGTTTGATGCTAGTTTTGAGGAAACCTCGGGAAGATTAACAGAGCAGGGTCTCTTTCCATTATATATATTACATATCACTTAATATGATAAACGGCAATAATCAGGGACAAAACCGGGTGATAATGTAATATTATTGTCTTTCAATTAAATCCTATCTTGTATCATGATGCACAATTAACTTCTGAATTGTTGATAACAAGCACATGCTCACTCAAATTTTGCAGAATATCTGAATTGATAGGAAATACGCTTATGGGAATATGACAGTGGAGTTAAATCAAACTTCTTTCTTGGCCACAATCACTTGTACATTTAAACATTTTAATTGAATTCAGATTTTTGCAGGCTTCAGTATGTATGTATATAAAAATATATTTATAACCTTTGACCGGTTTTGTTCATCTCTGTCATAGGTATCCTCTAATGTTAAATGGATGATGTTAGTTGCAGAAGAGAGCTGTGGTCAGAGGAAGCATTGCAATAGTTTGAAGATCTTTTGTTACACCCCTCATGCTCAGGCTCATATTTGTGGTATACAAATACTGATACTTTTTCATTATGCGTGTGAGATGATTGCTGATGAATCGTAGCTTACTGATCTCACAACAAGCACCTCCTAATTTAAAACTAAATTGAATGTGTTTGAAGTGTAATCACGTAAAGATTAGATGCTGACGTGTCATTAGGTTCCCTGTCAAAATGAATTTGCCAGAATTTATCAGGAAGTATTTTTCTTGGTTGAACATATTTAGCAAATATTTTTGTTTTCTCTAGCCTGTTTCTGTTTCACCCGCTCGCATCAAGCACATATTAGGTGACTGCGGGTCAAGCTCTCATCTCCAACACGCACCCCGACTACATCGCATTATTTTTTACTTTTGTGATCTGGACTCCTTCTCCCCTCCTTCATTTGACACAGTTTTTGTATTTCAGTTTCACCATATTGTGGGATTCTTTTTCAATCCAGGGTGGGGACAAAATCCATCAATGTCGATTGTACAGCCTCTGTAGTTATGGCCTCCACTGATGGTATTTTGACATCATCTTACATAGGAATATATCCATCTTTCTATCTCGATCTTCTAAGGGTGAAACTTGAGTATCGCATGAGCTCAAGCGCACGGCAAGATTGAGCTAATAAATAAAACACGTCGTGCATTACATAAGAACACGAAGAAAAAGAAGAAGAAGAAAATGCACAGTATGTGTGCGATGTGCAATGGTCCACATGAGTGCAGTGCAGGTAAAAGTGGCGAGAATACACAGTTACAGCTTGGGAATGGGGTGGGAGGGGGGGGGGGTCCGCATGATGACTGAGGTCTCCACCGTGCACAGTGGGCACAAATCGTCCTGCTCCGTGGCACAGTGAGCCGATGCCTGGATGAGGTGCCCAGCTGCCACTCTGGAAGACAAGAATAGGCCGATTCTTTCATGCAACACCTGTCACACAATTAAAACAGTGTGAGGGATTTTTTTTTTTCCTGAATCAGAACTTATTTTAAACTGCTTGTGGAGCGGCATTTGGTGCAGAATAGACCGAACGGGTCGGCGTTCATGTCTGAGAGGATCACAGCTGTGGGGTTGTCGATAAAGGTCATTATTTTAAACAATGCAAGCTCATTGCATGC